TGTATTGACCCATTCACCATCGGGGCCTTTGAGCTTGCTGTAGAAGGCCCTGACCTTCCGATCGGATGCGTTGGCGTCGCCGCTGAATTGGATGAGGAAGCGCCTAGCGGGGCTCTTCCCGACCACCTCCCAGTCACCTTCGTTGAGTTCACACCTGTCCATGATCGGTTGGAAGCTGTGCTCGAGCTGGTTCGCTGTGTAAGTATACGCCGACGTGCCGACGATGATGCCGGCGTCTGCCGCTCTGTCCCACTCAATAAGGTTCTCGTAATCTTTGATCGGGATCTGCGCTTCTTGCATGTGTAGCCGCTGTCGCATTTCTGCAACTTGAGCACGTAGTTCTCGTTGGTACGCTTCCAGCTTGGTCGAGGCGGCGCGATGAGATTGGATCTGTCCTGTGAACCGTTCGTTTCGCTTCTGCTGCTGACCGACGACCGCGCCCAGAGGCCATCTGAGCTGCGCAACGAACTCTGCGATGACTACTTGCTTGACTGTGGCCAGCTTCGCGTCGAGCTGCGCTGCGAGGAAGTCCTGCGAGGCTCTGATAGCGGCGCTGACGGCGCCCATGGGGTCACGCAGCTCGGAGGAGGTGGAAGCGTTGGACGCGGCGCTCCGATCGGCAGCTGCGTCAGCGCGCAGTCGATTGGATCCTTCAGCTGCGGCGCGAGAGAGAGAGCAGCCGAATCTCTCCACGGGTCGCGCTGGTGGACGGCATCTGGGGGGCGACCACCTCCACGCTGAAGAGGCCCTTCGCTCGCATCAGCACCAGAGGGTTGGCAAGCAGCAGCAGCATCGCCAGCAGCGCCACCTCCACGACGAGCCGACATTCGCAGGAGCGACTGGGTGCCCGGGGCTGACAAGGTCTTGGGATATGGATGCCAGGGGCGGACCTGGACTTTTGAACACGGATGCCAGGGGGCGGATCTGGACTTGGAAACAGCTGGATCTCGGGCTGGGAGCTCACCCCGCGAAGGCAGTTCTAGGGAGAGAGCCATTTGGCCTTGAGCCAAAATGGCTACGGAGATATATATATATATACATATATATATATATATATTCTCCGCGGTTCCCCCCACAGACAAACCCCCGTTGGATCAGATCCACAACTTATGAGGCCCGCCGAGATAACGATTTTACACGCGCGCGCACACGCGCCCGCGAGCAACTTTCAATCTGCATTTTTCAATCCGAGCGGGCACGCGGCGGCGGGCTCACGGATCAGCTCGCGCCCTCCTGGTTCGACCCACCTCCTTCGGAGTGAAGACACCCTTGAGCTCGTTGAAACCGCGCAGCACGGGGTTGCCAGCAAGGACCCACGAGGACCTGCTCGAGGACCACGGGGCCTGACGGGCGGCGGCGCCACGCAGCGCATGAAAGACTATCGGGGCCTGGCGCGCTGGTTGGCAGGATGAGAAGAAGCCCGCCCATGCCCCTCTTCGACGGCGGGGCGAGGTCGCCGAGGTCAGCGTCAAAACCAAAACGGCGAAGGCACACATCGGCAGCCACCGCGCCGATCGGCCCCGCAGCAAAAACTCGTCCCCAGCGGTGAGCAAGACCCCCAAGGACAGCCCCAGGATCAGTGGAAAACACATCTTGCTGCTGGAGGCCTTGAAGACACAATCGGCGATTGAAAGTACCCGAGTCGACCCCGACCCTCAAGTCCTCGAAGCCCGCGTCTTTGCCATGCTCTCTCGCTCTCTCTGGTGGGCGCCTGCGCGCGTGACCGGGCCTCTGCCTGAGCCCGCTAGTTTACCTCGGCATGCAACGCATTGGCGCATGCCAAGATTCCGCCTGCTGCTCCAGCGAGACCTTCCGAGAGATCGGGTCGAGGACGAGGTAATGACGAGCGAGGGCGCGAGAGCGAACGAGTCTGTCACCGAGAGCGAAATCTTGGCGGACGATGGCACGACCAATGGACTTCACCACGACGAGGCGAGAAATGGTCGATGAGGGAGTACGACGGATCATCTGGTCACGGGCAGCTCTGGCGGCATCCCGCATCGCTCGCTCGTGGAAGTCCAGCAGGAGAGGAAAGGGCAAGACCAGAGATGTGTCCGCGGCGGCAAAAACCTTCGATCAATACACCGAATAGGCTGCACGTTTGTAGCCTTCGGGATGGATGGCTATCTGATCGCCAGGAAGGGAAGACGGGGTTCCACCTGGGCCACCAGGGCCGCGTGGTCCGGGAGCTCGGCGCGGTTCATCACATCTGGAAGCCCCACGACGTCGGCGGTCGCGTCGAGCTGCGTCAACGCCCAGCCAGGCAGCGCAGTAAAGATCCTGCTGCGCAGTAGCGGGTAGGCTCCAGCACCGCGAACCCCACTGGATTCCGAAAGCACCGCCCCCATACCCGACGTCACCGTCGCCTGTCTTGGCCGGGGGGGGGGGGCCAGGAGGGCCAAGGGAACCAGGCCCGCGGGGCCCAGGGGCGCAGCGGTGACAGGCGGGGGCCCAGAAATGTTGAAGTCGCCCTGGAAGACGAGGATATCCTGACGCAGTGCTTCCAGAACGCTAAGACTGCCGGCCTCAATCCTGGCCAAAAGTTAGCCCCTGACAGCTGCAGTAAGCCCGCCATTGTGAATGCTGCAATGAACCAACCCGACGCCCCGAGAAAACCTGACAGTAACTTTCAAACTCTGCCCTGGACCAAAGCCTCTGGGATGCCCTCTGACTTGTTTTGGAGGGGGCTGTCGCCGAAGGCGGGGATGAAGGCGATCACGCCCCCCGCTGGGCATGGGGGCTCGGGGAGAAACGAGGGGAACGCAAGAAGTGGCTTTCGGAGTTGATAGGCAAAGTCCTGACATGTAGTCGGCTGAGGCAGGAAAATTGTTTGGCCCGAAGAGGAAGACTGTGGTGGCATAGCGAGCGAGCATTCCAAGTACCCGAAGAGAGAGTGCGGGGGTGGGATAGAGAACTTTGTCAGTGCCCAAAAGTGTTTTACCCGCTCTACTGAATGGGCTCTGGCCCGCATAGATACTGACCGGTCGCCTGCTCGATTCTCGGCCTGTCGATTTGCTGCAGTACGACGTTTGTCATTGCCCAAAGGATCTTCGGAGGGTTCTCGTGCTGAGACTTGACACGGAGGACCAGCTTCCATGCGATTGATCCCGCCTCCATGGATGGATGTTCTCGATCTCCCGACGGATATGTTTGAGGAGCACCTCGTTCTTGACCTGACACTGCGACTTGCCCGACGAAACATGAGTCTCGACGGGGACCCCATCGACGTCGGCCGTCAGGAATCGCTCCCGCTGCTGCGGGCCTTTCCGCAACGCGGCAATTGCCATCCCCACTTTACGAGCTGCGTAATGAGCATGTCCTTTGACACGAAAGTGGAAGCGCCTCGCCACTGGGCCGCATTCAATGTCAATCTCTTCTTCTGGGAGGGCTGCACGCTGTAGCCACCACGCACGAAGAGCTGGGACGATCTGCTGCTTGGCGGTATTGGTCCTCGTACGCGCCACGATGGTACATGGACCAGGAGAGTGGTCGAAAGAGTTGGGAACAGGGGCGGCTGGCTCTGAGAGCATATTCTGCGACTCTGCGATCGACTCCTCCACTTTGCCCATCCTGATATCGGCTTGCTTCTGCGGTGTCTCCACCTGGCACACTCTGCGTTCGAACTGACGAGTGAGCGAAGCACACGAGGGCTGCACCGTCGAGGCGAGGCTGGAAACTGACTGCTGGATTTGAACGATGGCGGCGAGCATGTTCCTCTTACTCTGATCAACAGGGGCACCTGCTGCGATGAAGGCGGATCTTGAACAGCAGCACGAGCAGGCTGACGAACCTGGGACGCCTGCGACGGGAAGGTGGGCATCTCGTCCAAGGCTTGGAGGGAGGCGGCCTCCACTGGAATGAAATCACTGTCTCCGACATTTGACATCCTGCGTTCGCTACGTTGGTGGCGGCACTCACAAGGAAGCAAAAAAGAGACTGGAGAAAGTGCGCGGCGCCTGGGCAGGCTCCTGCGCGGGACGAGAACAATCCGCCAGCGCACGACACGCTGGATAGCTCGGAAGAGGCAATGGGACCTGCTCCCAACTTGAGCCAAAATGGCAACGGACACTTCTCCTCCTCCTCCTCCTCCTCCTCCTGATCCTCCTCCTCCTCCCCCCCCTCTTCTCGTTATGTGTTCGTTCCGCCTCCACTGCACAACGAAGTCAAAACGGAACACAGCCCAAACGATCGCCCCAAAACACTGTTTACACCGGAGACAGGTCCACGAGAAACCCGCCACAAGAAACCCAACCCTGAGACCCCAGGACGCCCATTGAGTTTGGGCGTGGGAGCGTCGCGCCCTCAATCGCAAAACCATCCGAACCCAAGAAACCCAGGGCACCCTGGAGGCAAGCAGAGTGTTTTCTGGGCATGTAGAAGCCTCCTAGATGGAGTCCGAGTAGATGGGGTTGGAAGATCTCGCCGCATCGCCGATACATCGGCGATGCATCGGCGATGCATCGGTGATGCAGCAGCGATGCATCTTCGACGTCGTCGATGCATCGGCAACATCGACACGAAGCAAATCGGGCTCCACCTCGAACCGCATCGGCGATGCATCGGCGATGCAGCAGGATCCTCCGACCCCATCTAGGATACGGGAACGAAGAATGACAGAAACAGAAAAACTCTGAGGTCCGCGCGGACTTCTCGGATCGGCGCTGGACCCTCCTCCCTGGCGCGCGGAGCGCGCCAGGGTCGGCGCAGGAGGCGCCGCCAGGGGCCCCAGCGCGGATCCGAGAAACCCACGCGGATCTCGGAGTTGTTATGTTTATGTCATGCTTGTTCCCCCTATAGGAGGCCTACAGCCGAGGTTGTTCGGAGAGGACCCGCGAGAGGACGCAAGACCCTTCCGAGGGCCACATTGCAATAGGAATGTAGACGGCATGGATGGCCAAACACAGGACGCAAGGGCACACTTGATTTGGCAGGGCCGCCCTGCCAATCCGCCCCGAACTGTAGAGCATGGGGTCTGCACGGTCTAGGTCGAGCCCCTGCTCCTGCCGGGCCGCATCGCGCGCGGCCTCGGCCTCCCGCAGCCGGCCCTCCGCCTCCGCGAGCGCGCTGGCGAGCTGCTGGCGGCGCGCCTCGCCGTCCTCTGAGGGCGCATCGTCGTCGTCGTCGTGGTCACCGTCGTCCTCGTCGTCGTCGTCGTCGTCGTCGTCGTCGTCGTCGAATGAGTTTACTACAAGCTTGATTATCCCGCCAAAAATGTGTGTATATATATATAAATATATATACCCGAAACGCACAGAAGGTTCAAAGGTCTACAAGACATGATACGTGCTTGCTCACATATTCAGCGGGAATATCAATTTTGGAAGTGAATATATTCAGTAGTCGATCTCCTTCCTACTCTATGAAAGAGCGTGTTCTACCGCTGCTGGCGGAAAACCGGGGGGTCACTATCGGTTCGAACCCCTCCCCCCCCTTCCAGAAAACCGGGGGGGGTCACTACCCGTTCGAACCCCTCCCCCCCCCCCCAGTTCATCATGAAAAGGGAGGGGGTCACTACCGGTTCGAACCCCCCCCTCCCCCCCTCCCCCTTCGAAAACCGGGGGGGGTCACTACCGGCTCGACCCCCCCCCCTTCGAAAACCGAGTGGGGGTGCGGACAGTGGTGGGGACGGTGGTGGTGGGGACAGTGGTGAGGGGACAGCGGTACAGTGGTGGGGACAGCGGGACAGTGGTGGGGACGGTAGTGGTGGGGACAGTGGTGAGGACAATGGTGGGAACAGTGGGGACAGTGGACAGTGGACAGTGGTGGGGACGGTGGTGGTGGGGACAGTGGTGTGGGGACAGTGGGAATGAGGTGGAAACAGTGGGACAGTACAGTGGTGGTGGGGACAGTGGTGAAGGCGGTGGCGAGGACGGCGGTGGGACAATGGGACAGAGGTACAGTGGGGACAGTGGTGGGGACAGTGGGGACAGTGGTGGGAACAGTGGGGCAGGGACAGCTCAGTGGGACAGCGGAGGAGTCAGTGGGACAGTGGGGACAGTGGGGATAGTCGGGCAATGGTTGGGGCCGTGGAGAAAGTGGGGAAAGTGGAACCGTGGTGGGAACAGTGGTGGGGACAGTGGGGACAGTGCGACAGTGGTGGAGGCACTGGTGGGGACAGTAGGGACGGTGGTGGAACCAGTGGGGACAGTGGTGGTGAGGACAGTGGTGCTGGGAATGGGGGATGTGATGCGGACGGTGGTAGGGACCGGGAGTCGTTTGCTGGCGGTGAGTGGGGGGGGGGGAGGGGTTCGACCCCCCCCCCCGTTTTCGAGGGGGGGGGGTTCGAACCGGTAGTAATCCCCCTGGTTTTCGAGGGGGAGGGGGGGGGGGGGAGGGGAGGGGGGGGGGGGGGGGGGGAGGGGGGGGGGGTTTGGCCGGGGAGGGGGTGGGGGGTTGTTCCAGCAGGGGGAGGGGATTTTCGAGGGGAGGGGGGAACCCTGGGTTCCGGAGGAAGAGGGGGGCAATTCTCTACAGTAAAGCGGCGGTGGATCACGCTCTCTCCGAGATGTGGAACGATGCGCAGTGGGACGCTGGAGGACACACTGGTACTGTGTGCTGGTGCTGGAGGCGCACGCCTAACACGAACACGCAGCAAACATATCGTGTAATGTGTGTATGTATGTATATATACATACATATATATATATGCCCATCGGTCGGGAGAAGTAGGTAGAAACATGAAGTAGGAAGGCGTTGAAGTAACTTGGGTCTCCGCCCGCCCCCTGAAAGAGGAGGGAATAGGGGAAGCCACGCGATCATCGAAGTAGTAGGAAGGCGCTTAAAGTAGGCTGGAAACTGGAAATCCAATAATACCTACGTTCAACGACCGATGGGAATATAGATATACATAAATAAAAAACATACATACATATGTATATACATATATATATATATATGTATGTATGTATATGTACATGTATGCATGTATCGCTTCCCGAGCGGTACGGTCAGAGTGCGCCCGCCGCACAGCCGGTGCGCCCGCCACGCAGCTGTGGTGCTATTGACGACTCTCGAGGCGTGCGCGCCGCCCCCGCAGGGGAGGCCGGCGCACACGCAGCACGCCGTGGGCGTGTGACTGGGCGGTGCGCCGGAGGGCCGCAGTGGGATCCGAGCACCGAGGTCCGTCAGGACGGACCATCGTTTGCGAAACGAGTGTCCATCGCAGGCATCGGTGACAAGACGACAGACCTCGCACCCCTTCCCCCCACATGTTCAGGGTCGGCGAGGAGGAAGCCGTGCCACCCCCCCACCCAGCCCCCGCAAGGCGGGCTTTGATTTCGCAGCACATCGCGCTCCCCTCTGGTGCAGCCGTTTGCCAACGTTGAGATGCGGGGCGCGGGGGCGGAGCCTGGCCTTTCTAGAAGTGGGCATTTATTTCGCTAACGGCGGGAGTTCAGAGGGGATACGGTTAAAACGGGTACACCCTGCGAAATGCTTAAGAAATCATGGGTTAAGAAATTCATAGTCTCAGAAATTGACTAAAACCCAGAACTTCTATCAAAATCTTGGGATTTGCATTCAAAAGTTAAGAATAATCGAGACTCTGGCCGAAAATTTAGGTTTTCTTAAGCATCGCCTAAGGTGTAGTAAGGAATGGTGGTAAGGACGCACGACCCTTGGAGGCCAAAGTCGGAAGCGCTTGGACGGCGGCCGGCCTGTGGGAACGGCGGAAGACGGACCGCGGAGGCGAGGACACGAGGGCACCCTAGATGTAAGGCGCGCGTCCTGGCTGGGCGCGCTGACTGTGTTTTCAAGGGGGTGGTCCACCTGCCCGACCTCCTCCTTCAGGGGCAACGTTGGGGGGGGGGGATAATTGGACGCCCGAACTATCCGGGGTAACTCGGGTCCGGGGTAACTCGGGTTTAGATTCCCGAAAAAGGAACCCGAGTTAGCCCTGACCCGAGTTATCCCTGATGATTCGGGGCTCTGGACGCCCAAACTATCCGGGGTAACTCGGGTCCGGGGTAACTCGGGTTCGGACTCCCGAAAAAGGAACCCGAGTTATCCCTGACCCGAGTTACCCCTGATGATTCGGGGCTCTGAGATAAGGCTCAGGGGGGGATGCATCGGCCCCCTGTGGCCCACCGACCGCCGATAGGGCCCGCCAGCCCCCCCCCCCACCCCGCCCAGGAGCGTGCGGCTTCGCTGCCGGGGGCCTACCGCCGATCTCACCGGCGATGCCAAGACATCCTCCGATATTCGGGGGGGGCCAAGACGGGGGCGTCCAAGAGGGGGGGGGGCGCAAATCATGGCCGGCGGCACGTGCGCGGCCCAGGGGGGGGGGCCGTGGACGTATTGAAATGAGAAGAGGCGCCGTGAAATCTGAGGAGATATCGTGGCCCCCGCCATGATGTCCAGCCCCCCTCTGGTCATTACCCTCCCCCTTGGCCGCCCCCGAGGCATGTTTTCTGCTCCGTCCACGGCGCCCGAGGTCCCGACCCCGGCCCCCCGGGGGCAGCCTTTGCGCCCCGGGCCCATCCTGGGGAGGCCCCGGGGGCCCAGCGGCGAGGCCCAGAAGCCGGAACGGAGCACAACAGAAAGGCCTGGACGAGAAGAAGACAAGTCGTCGGGGACCTTGGTCGGAATCGATGTTCCCCCCCCCCCCTGAGCTGCCCCCCTCCTTGGAGCAGGGACCGACCGTCCCGGCAGTCCCAGGGGCCTGCCACGAAACGTTCTTAGAACCCCCCAAAATGCTCCAAGAACAGCAGCAAAGTTCTTAGCACACAAACCCGATGTGCTACAACAAGACAGTCTCAACCAGAAATGTTCTAAGAACATTTCGTGCAGACCACAAAAAGTTATTAGAACCTTTGGTACGCCTATAGGACAGCCAGGACGCTTTGCCACTGCTCGACTCCGCACGTTGTCCCCCTCAGGTGCACGCTGCACAGGCGGCGCAGCGGCGGGCGGAGCTGCTGTCGGCGTAGGTCCGCAACCTGCAGGCCTCAATATAGTCTAACCGTAGAGAGCCGGCTGGGGCCTCGCCGTGCTGGGGACGCGAGCGATGCCATGATACGATTGGCTCGGGATGCGTCCTAGGAATTCTGGAATACTGTATGAATATGTGTTGTTGCACCGGTTTTACCCTCCGTGCCACCGTGCTCAACTCCGCACAGTTTGTCTCGTCAGTTTGACCCACCCAGTGTCAACACAAAAAAGAAGTTTAGAATATCGAAGGGCCCCCGTTTCTGTAGCCTGTCTGGAGCAGGAACAAATCTCGGGGAATCATGGGAATCTGGGAACGTATCGTCCGTATGTCTTCCACCATCGAATTCCCGCCACATAGCCCACACGACTTAACTGGCATCACACAGCTCGCACCGCAAAACTTTCACCTCCGATGCACTTGTGCAAGCTAATATTCAGGAATCCTGGAAATCATGCTTGGATCACGGCGAAGGGTGCTCAGGGGATAGGGGATTTAGGAGGCAACTACTGGGAGGTCTTCGTCGGAAAGATTAAGGAAGATTAAGCCCACTTGGGGGGTTGTTACGCTGGAGTGAGCCTCGGATTAAGCGGGATGAAGCCGGATTAAGCGGGATTAAGGGCAAGATTAAGCCGGATGTAGCGGGAATAAGGCGGATTAAGCCGGACTTCGGACCAGGGCAAAATCAGAAGCTGACCTCCCAGGAGTTGCATCCAAAGGGGATAAAAGGGGGTTGTAGAGATGAACGCGATGAGGGTCATGGCTGGCCGGATCTAGCTTTTACAGTGGGTCACAACTGCCCTACAAGTGGCTGAAAGGCGTCAGGCAGCGCTGCGGCTTAATTCCTGCCCAATTGGCCCAGACCTCTGCGCCCCCCGTCGGCCGTTCTGGGCACCTGCAGCCTACCGATAAAGCCTAGATTGGAACAGCTATGAGAGCGCGTGTCTGTATGTTCGGCGATAGTGGGCGTTACAGGGGGGGGGGGCGGGGGGGGTATAACGCAACGCTCCCCCCCGCCGTGTGGCTCTGGCACCACAGGAGCCCTTTACATTTTCCGGGAGAGGTGACAACGAGCCAAGGTCGGTCAAACCGACCTTGGCATCCAATTGGAACCCCCAATCCACTAGCTCCGAGGTGGCCTGCGGGTCTGAGCAGGTTGGGCCCCGAGAACATCTGTCAAGTGGGGGGGGGGATGAAACAGAACCCCTTCAAAATCGGTCCCCCAACGTCTCCCAAGGTCCATCTGGTGTGGGCTTGCACCCCAAGAAATTTTGTCACGGTCCCGAGGCCCGAAACCGGTCCTGGGAGGCCGAAAACTGCAAAAAATTTGCTTCGTATTCAGAACCGCGGCCGGAACCAGTGCTGGGGCATCTCAGAACCCCAGCCGGCTCCAAACTTGGCATCCACTCAGACCGCCTTATCCCCTTTAGCAACCCAAGCGGTGATCCAAGCGGAGGCCTTGGAACGTGTCGCCACCACTCGCCTGCACGCAAGAGTGACTTTAGACAAGAGTGAGCTTGGGTGCGGGTGCACGGCTCGAGGGGGCCACGGTGGGGGCAAACCCAGGCGCACAAGCCAGTACAAGGGGGGCACTGGGGGAGACCCCTCTGGGCCCGCACCAAAGGTCACTCCGACCAAGGGTCACTCTCAGGTGTAGCCGAATCTGGGGAAACGAACAGGTACCCAGACCGCTGCTCCACGGACCTCTCCAGGGCTTGCCGTCGCTCGGACGTCCATTTCCCGTGCATTTTTCGGTTTCGTGCGTGTTTTTTGTTGCTCGATGGTCCAGGATGCTCCTCGATGGTTCTCGCCGAGCGATGCCAAGAGGGGCGCGTCCCGACGAGAATCTCGAGGGGAATCTAGACGTGGCCACGGGGACTCCCCAGGACGAGCAACGGCATCTCGAGGCCTCCCTCATGGGGTCCAAGTGGACGGGGTCGGAAGAGCGCGCCGCATCGCCGATGCATCGCCGATGCATCGGCGTTGCATCGCCGATGGATCGGCGACGTGGGCATTGCATCGGCGACATCGAGCCGCATCGAGCCGCATCCCCGACGCATCGCCGATGCATCACCGACGCGCCGCCGACGCATCACAGACCCCACTTGCTCCGACCACGTCTGGGAGGCCTAGGTAGAAAAAAAGGAACGACGCCATGAAACATCACTGTTGGCGCTCCGCGCAGTTTCTTGGATCCGCGCTGGACCCCCCTCCCTGGCGCGCGGAGCGCGCCAGGGGCGGCGCCCAAGGCGCCCCCAGGGGGGGGGGGGGGCAAGTTCGGATCCAAGAAACCCGCGCGGAGCGCCAAAAGTGTATATATGGCGTTTTTTTTTCCTTCGACTGGAGAATCACGGCTTCCTTCGGGGACCTACTGAGCCAGGCGAATGCAAACCTGGGTCAGTCACGCCCTGCAGGATCTTGCAAGATCCTCCAGAATCCTGCAGGATCCTGCACCCAAACACGGTTCAGTGCGCCCCTAGCCCTGCAGGTTCCTGCAATCTCTGGCGCTCCTCATTCACCCCCGTCTCTTGAGCCCCGATCTTCTTCTTCATAACGTTGACCCCCGAGGTCTCGACCCATTCCCCACGACCGGTTTTTCATCCCGAGTCGTTGTTTGACGGTCCAGTTGCCCCCCAGGGACCGAAAATGGCGAAAGACCTCCCGTCACGAATTGTTCATCACTCGAGGGGGGTCTTTTGGATCACGGCTTCTCGCCTGCAGGAGAGCCCAGAATCCAATCGATAAATCGGATCGGCAATCGACATGAATCGGATCGGCGGAAATCGCCAGCCCAATCGGGAAAAGTCGAATCGGCGGAAATCGGCAGGCTAGTATGCCTCAAATAAGAAATCGGAATCCAAATCGGAAGCCCAAGTCGAATCGAATCGGAATCGGCATCCATCGAAGTCGAATCGAATCGAATCGGAGGAATCGAAACGAGCCCTGCGCCTGGGCAAGGAGTGGATCTCTGGGATCGCGGCTGCTCGCCCCTCCGAGTCCTCCTGGGCCTTCCGCAGCTGCCCGCGGGTGGCCTCGCCCTCGGCGCGGGCGGCCTGGCGCACGCAGGAGCAAAGGGGGGGGGGGGCTGCGCCCTGGCCACGCCCCGCCCTGGCCCCACGCAGAGAGAGAGAGAGAGAGAGAGAGAGAGCCCAGGATCGAATCGACATGCAGCGGAGGCCAGTCCACAAGGTTATCGGCTACGAGATTGACTAAGCGTGACTAACCCCCCACCCACCCACCCACAAAAAAAACAAACGAAAAGAACAACACCAGCAGCAGCAGCAGCAGCAGCAGCAGCAGCAGCAGCAACAACAACAACAACAACAACAACAACAACAACAACAACAACAACAACAACAACAACAACAACAACAACAACAACAACAACAACAACAACAACAACAATCACAACAACAACAACAACAACAACAACAACAACAACAACAACAACAGCAGCAGCAGCAGCAGCAGCAGCAACAACAACAACAACAACAACAACAACAACAACAACAACAAAACAACAATTTTAAGACCGTTCGCCCTTATATGCTCCGAGTGTCCAATAACGCGTACTTCCCAAACCCTCGATACCCGCCCTCTTCGTCTTCGATCGAACCCCTTTTGGAGGGTATACCTTTCTTCCCTGCAGGCCGGGCCCCGGCAAGCGGCGGGGCGGCCGCGGACCGTCGGCCTGGCCAGCGGCAGCGCTGATCGGCGGGGCGGCCGCGGACCGTCGACCCGACCCCAAGAGGGACGGACAGGGGACCGACCACGACGACGACGACGACGACGACGACGACGACGTCGAAGACGACGGGACGACGAGCGAAAGCGAGAGCGAGAGGTAGGCCACGAAGGGCGACAGCGGGGACACGAAGGGAATGCGTATGGGGCCACGAAGAGCGCGAACGAGCGGGGGCCACGAAGTGCAGATAATGCGGGGCCACAGAAGGCAACTATGGGGCCACTGAGGGTAGCAACTGGGCCACGTAGGACAGTGAGGGGGAGGGGATACGAAGGCGACAGCGGGGCCACGAAGGGCATGCACATGGGGCCACAACGGGCGCGACTCCTGGGTGCATGGGTGTCGGGAGCGAGGCGCTTGGGCAAATTGCAGGAAATTCCAACGCAAGGCCATTCCTCAGTAAGTTGCAAGCAAGTCTGCAGCGAGAGCGCGACTCCAGAGCGCCGGGAGAGCGATTCCTGAATAAATGGTAAGGAAGTCCCGAGCGAAAGCGCAATTCCTGAATCAAATGCGAGGAAGTCTCGGGCGGGAGCGGGGCCCTGGCTAAATTGTAAGGAAATCTCAAGCGGGAGCCGTTGTTGTTGTTGTTGTTGTTGTTGTTGTTGTTGTTGCTGTTGTTGTTGTTGAACATTATTAATTCTAAAAAATAATTATTGTTGGGGCCCCTGGTGCGCGCCCCCCCCGCCGCGCCTAGGCCGCAGCCACATTTTCATCATTTTCGCGAGGAAGTCTCAGGCAAAACGGGGTATACCAGATCCGGTTGTGTTGTTACGATCGGTTTTCCCTTGCAAAAAATAAGGCAAAGTGGACATTTCTTGTTCTAACATGACCAAACTTCAAGAATCCCTTGCAACAAATGACACGAAGTGCACATTCGCGCGCGCAAGACGAAATCCTTCCAAAACCTTAGTCTTCGTAGCGATTTTCACATAAAAACATGAAAAACCCAATGGTTTTTCAAAAAAAGGGTTTCAAAAATTCACCCCGCGCGCTCTTGCGGATTTCTTAGGAAACCCAATACTTTTTCAACATTTCTGTCAAACGGGCTCTTGCGAGCAACTTTTTCACGTGCTTCGAACTTCTGCAACAAAGGTTGCGCGCCTGCCAGGGCCATCATCCCTGTCAAATAATACCATGTGGGACACATTCGTTTTTTCTTCGCGCGCGCACGCCGAAATCTTCAAAAATCATTGGGTTTCTTAGGAATTTTAGCACCGCGCAACATAAAATCATACGAATCGCACCGTAGGTTCTCGAAAAACATCTGTACGAATTTTCAAAATTTCTACCCGCGCGCGCTGTCCGAATCCTTAAAAACCAATGGTTTTTCAACATTTATGTTATAGAGCTCGCGCGAGCTGTTTTCGCAAGCTCTTTCAACGGCGTTCGCGCGCCTGCCAGGGGCCACAATCCCTTGCAAAAAATATCATGCGGGACACATGCGCGCGTCGTCGCGTCGTCGTTGTCGGCATGGTACCACAACAAGTCAGTGTGTCACCACGTCATCGAACAAAATCACTGATCACTGTCACATCCGTAGCCATCTCGGATCAAGGTATCGCCTGTGTTCTTGGATGGGTCATGGCTTTGTCGGCGAAAGCCCTTGACGAGCAGTATGGCCCAGAGCTGTCGCGGCCTCCCTTGGCCGACTGCGGCAGCCCGTTTTATTTGCTGTTATAGAGAACCATCGGAACAACAATCGGGACAATCATCGGGACAATCATCGCGACAACCATCGGGACAACCACAACCATCAGGACCTCCAACCAGAGAGAGCTAGTCACGTGTATTTCGTAGACGAATGAGCCAGTATTGCACATTGAGGCCGGAACGACAACCACAGAACAAGAATGAACATGTATCGTCTCACAACAACGGAAACAAGTCCTGTGGTATGCTGGCGCCACGCACGTGGTACCACTCAAAATAAGTGTCTTCGCTTGTGTGGTACAGAAACGGAAAAACGTCGGAAAACGGTACAGGTGTCCAGTGTTGGAACAGGGGGAAAAGTCGTATACTAAGCTAGCTTCCACAAAATGTTACCACAACAAGTCACTGTACCCATGCGCCAGTGTAGTAGCCAAGGTCGTCCGCAGGCCACGAAGTGAAGTGTCCGAACGTCATAGGGCGGGAAGCTGGGTGTGGGTGGTGGGTATTGCCCGCCTCCTATGAAAACCCTGGCACTGGTGAGAACGGAGTGTCCCCAGTCTTAAATGATTGTTGTTGTTGTTGTTGTTGTTGTTGTTGTTGTTGTTGTTGTTGTTGTTGTTGTTGTTGTTGTTGTAACCCGGGGGCCAAGGGCCCAGTTTGAGCAGGAAGATTCTCCCTGTCATAAAACAGGATGCGAGCGTCGAGGGGCGCACTTTGATTGAGAAAAAACAGTATGCACTGGTGGGAGATCAATAATGATTATTCATCAAAAATGAAAAATCAAGGTCGACACGTGCACTGCCCACCCGTGGGCACCGCGAGGTCTCGAGGTGATCCGCGAGGTCTCGAGGTGTCGAGGTGATCCGCGTTGGACGTACCTCCGCTGGGCCTCCCAGGAGCCCACGAAAGTGGCGACAGTTGCGCAGATCGCAGCCCCCAGGGCACCGCGAGGTTTCGAGATGATCCGCGTGGGACGTACCCCCGCGATCCGCGTGGGACGTACCCCCGCTGGGCCTCCCAGGAGCCCACGAAAGTGGCGACAGTTGCGCAGATCGCAGCCCGACGGCACGAGAGAAGAGGAGAGGGGAACATAGGAAACAGGAGAGGAGGAGGAGAAGGACGGGGCGACCACACTGCTCAATTCAAAACGAGTACCCAACCATAGGAGGGTTGGGAAAAACTCAAGGAATGCTGAGACCCTCCGAGGCTCCCACGAAAGACCCACGACCTGGCCTGGCCAGGCGGCCCAGGATGGGATCCGGCCAGCGCCAGCGAGGCGGTCTTCAATAGTCGGGGGATCTACGGACCATGGGTCTCAGTCCCAACCCGGGCCAGTCGGGCTTTGCAGGATCCTGCGAGATCCTGCAGGACCACGCAGAATCATGCACCGTGACTTGGATCAACGCGTCCCTGGCCCTGCAGGATCCTGCTAGATCTGGCGCCCTGGCTCACCCCCGGTTACATTGACCCAAGGCCCCCGAGATCTCGCCATCGCTCGGAAGTCCATTCCCCATGCACTTTTCGGCTTCGTGCGCTGATATTGTCCTAGGATGTACAACTTGCTCATTGATAGCCCTCACCGAAAAATTAGTCCTGGCGAAGGACCCAACCATAGGCAGTTGTGGGTACCGCAATTGTGAAAATCTTCTTCGTGAAACTCCCTATAGGGCCACGAAGCGCCGAACTGGGTGGGGGGGAACGCTGTTCTGGGTGAGTGGTGTGTCAAGTAAGGTTTCCGGGACGCATGCGGACGGTCCCACTGGGGGCTTCGGTGGAGCTCCCTATGGGGCCACGAAACGCTGTACTGGGTAAGTGAAAATGCCAAATTGGGTTTCTGGGACGCATGCGGACGGTCCCACTGGAGGCTTCGGTGGAACTCCCTATGGGGCCACGAAGCGCTGTGCTGGGTGGGTGAAAATGCCAAATTGGGCTTCCGGAGCGCATGCGGACGGTCCCACTGAGGGCTTCGGTGGAGCTCACTAAATGGCCACGAAAGTTGTTTTGGGTGGGTAAAAATGCGACGTTGGGTTTTCGGGACGCATGCGGACGGTGGCACTGGGGCCTTCGGTGGGGCTTCCTACGGGGCCACGAAATTCTGGACTGGGTGGGTGAAAATGGCACAGTGTGTGATTCGGCACGCTTGCGGACGGTCCCACTGGGCCCTTCGGTGGAGCTCCCTACGGAGCCACGAAACGCTGCACTGGGTGAGTGAAATGCCACATTGGGTGTGCGGGACGCATGCGGACGGTGGCACTGGGGCCTTCGGTGGAGCTCCCTGTGGGGCCACGAAACGCTGTACTGGGTGGGTGAAAATGCCAAATTGGGTGTTTCAGGACGCACTCGGACGGTCCCACTGGAGGCTTCGGTGGAGCCCCCTATGTGGCCACGAAGCGCTGTACTGAGTGGGGGGGACGCATGTGGACGGTATCCGTCGGTGGGGCTCCCTATGGGGCCACGAAACGCTGTACTGAGTGGGGGGGACGCATGTGGACGGTGGCACTGGGGCCTTCGGTGGAGCTCCCTATAGAGCCACGAAACGCTGTACTGAGTGGGGGGGGACGCATGTGACGTGGCACTGGGGCCTTCGGTGGACGGTGGCACTGGGGCCATTCGGTGTGTACTGAGGGGGCCTAGGGGGGCGCGACGAAAACGACGTGTGGCACTGGGGCCTTCTTATCTCCCTACGGGCCACGAAACGCTGTACTGAGTGGGGGACGCATGTGACGTGGCACTGGTTGCCTTCGTGGAGCTCCCTATGGGGCCACGAAAACGCGAGTGTACTGAGGGGGGGGACGCATGTGGACGGTGGCACCGGACCTTCGGTGGGGCTCCCTATCGGCTACGAAACGCTGTACGAGTGGGGGGGGGACGCATGTGGACGGTGGCACTGGGGCCCTCGGTGGAGCTCCCTATGGGGCCACGAAACGCTGTACTGAGTGGGGGGGACACATGTGGACGGTGGCACTGGGGCCTTCGGTGGAGCTCCCTATGGGGCCACAAAACGCTGTACTGAGTGGGGGGGGCGCATGTGGACGGTGGCACTGGGGCCTTCGGTGGAGCTCCCTATGGGGCTACGAAGCGCTGTACTGAGTGGGGGGGGGGACGCATGTGGACGGTGGCACTGGGGCCTTCGGTGGAGCTCCCTATGGGGCCACGAAACGTTGTACTGAGTGGGGGGGACGCATGTGGACGGTGGCACTGGTGCCTTCGGTGGAGCTCCCTATTGGGCCACGAAGCGCTGTACTGAGTGGGGGGGGACGCACGTAGACGGTGGCATTGGGGCCTTCGGTGGAGCTCTCTATGGGGCTACGAAACGCTGTACTGGGTGGCTGAAACGCAGGGAAGAGGGGGAGGAGGGAGGAGGAGGGAGGAGGAAGAGAGGAGAGGAGGAGGAGGAGGAGGAGGAGGAGGAGGAGGAGGAGGAGGAGGAGGAGGAGGAGGAGGAGGAGGAGGAGGGAGGAGGAGGAGGAGGAGGAGGAGAGGAGGAGGAGGAGGAGGAGGAGGAACGCGGGGACCGTCTCTTCAAAACGAGGACCCAACAACACAGGTTGGTTGGGAAAAAAACGCACGTCCGGACGATGCCAAGATGTAGCCGACGCCCCCGCCCCACGGGCCTGCAGCTCCTCGCGAAGGATCGCGAGGTCGCCCCCGAGGTGCTTGCACTGGGCCTCGCTGCGGGTGAGGGTCTCCTGCGGGGGCAAAGAGGCGGCAAACATCGAATCGGGGAATCGGATCGGATCGGAACCGCGTCGGCACCGTGTAGTTCGTGCAGCCGTCAAGGCAGGGGAAGAGAGGACGGAGGGAAGGAAGGCAAAAGGTGGAGGGAGGACGATGGAGCACGAGAGAGAGTAGCAGGAGAGGGGGCTAGGAGCAGAAAGCACGCGGCAGAACCAGACGGGCTGATCAGGCGGGCACACCCTAACCAGCGGGTCGGGAAAGCGGGCCCACGCGGCCAGGTCGAGCAGGTGGGTAGCTGAAGCGCGAGTCCTGCATGAATCGCGAGGTCGCAAGCAATAGCGCGATTCCCAAGTAAATCGTGAGGATAGCCAAAAAGCGAGAGCGTGATACAGTGTCGAGGGCGCGGCGTCTGAATAAATCGCGAGGAAGTCCCAAGCGAGAGCGCGATTCCTGTAAAACGTGTGAGGGGTCCCGCGCGAGAGCCCGGTTTCTCTATAAATTGTAAGGAAATATCACGCAGGAGCCGTTGAACGTTCATTACTCAACAATTGGTATTGCTGGGCTCTTACAGGCGCCCCGACCCCTTACAGGCGCCCTGGCGCTCTCGCCGAGGCGCCGGCTACATTTTCATTGAAAACGACGCTCACGCTCGAGCGGTTTGGGGAACCGCCAAAATGGGCCCCCCCAACAACAACAACGCTCCCGCTCGAGACTTCCTCCGTTTTTACTAAGGGGTGGTGTTCTTGTTCGCCGCCGAAAACCGCTGTCCTAACAAAACCAGCGCTCCCGCTCGAGACTGTTTCCCGTTTTACCTTGGGCTGGCGCGCTAGTCCTTCTCTCATCGGCGCCGCCCCCAGCAAAACGACGTTCCCGCTCGAGGCTTCCTCCCATTTTCACTCAAGGCGGTGCTCCTCCTCGCCGCAGCAAAACCGCCGCCCCGACAAAACCAGCGTTCCCGCCCGAGATTTCCTTTTGTTTTACGCTGGACTGGCGCCCTACTCTCTTTTGAATTGGCGCCGCTCCCAGCAATAACAACGCTCTCGCTCGAGGCTTCCGCCCTTTTTCCTGTAGACGGTGCTGTTCCTCGCCGCCGACAACCCCCGTCCCGACAAAACCACGGCTCCCGCTCGATGCTTCCTCCCTTCTTACTCAAGGCGGTGCTCCTCCTCGCCGCCGAAAACCGCCGCCCCGACAAAACCAGCGTTCCCGCCCGAGACTCCCTTTCGTTTTACGCTGGACTGGCGCCCTACTCTTTTTTGAATTGGCGCCGCTCCCAGCAAGAACAACGCTCCCGCTCGAGGCTTCCGCCCTTCTTCCTGAACCCTGTGCTGTTCCTCGCCGCCGACAGCCCCCGTCCCGACAAAACCACGGCTCCCACTCGATGCTTCCTCCTGTCTTGCTCAAGGCGGTGCTCCTCCTCGCCGCCGAAAGCAGCCGTCCCAATACCTCTCACCTGGCCCCGACACCCCCACCCACAGAACCTCTGTTCTTAGGACCCCCCACCCCGCGATTTCTCTCCCAAAACCGACCCTGGCCCCGGCCGAGACACCCCCCCACCTGCCTCGACACCCCCACCCACAGAGCCTTTGATCTTGGGACCCCCCACCCCACGATTCCTCAACCAAAACCAACCGATACCCCCACCTGGCCCCGACCGATACCCCCCACCTGGCCCCGACACCCCCACCCACTGAACATCTCTTCTTGGACCCCCCACCCCACGATTTCTCGCCCACAACCCACCGATACTCCCCACCTGGCCCCGACCGAAGCCCCCCACCTGGCCCCGACACCCCCACCCACAGAACCTATGTCCTTGGTACCCCCCACCCCGCGATTTCTCAACCAAAACCGACCGATGCCCCCCACCTGGCCCCGACCGAGACCCCCCACCTGGCTCCGACACCCCCACCCACAGAGCCTTTGATCTTGGGACCCCCCACCCAACGATTTCTCAACCAAAACCAACCGATACCCCCACCTGGCCCCGACCGATGCCCCCCACCTGGCCCCGACACCCCAACCAACAGAACCTATGTCCTTGATACCCCCCACCCCGCGATTCTCAACCAAAACCGACCGATGCCCCCCGCCTGGCCCCAACCGATGCCCCCCACCTGGCCCCGACGCCCCCACCCATAGAACCTCTGTTCTTGGAACCTCCCACCCCGCGATTCCTCAATCAAAACCAAAGGATACCCCCCAACCTGGCCCCGACCGATACCCCTCACCTGGCCCCGACACCCCCACCCACAGAATCTCTGTTCTATGACCCCCCACCCAACGAGTTCCCCCAAAACCGACCGACAGCCCTCGCCTGGCCCCGGCCGATGCCCCCCCACCTGGCTCCGACCGATACCCCCCCTGGCCCCGACACCCCCACCCATAGAACCTCTGTTCTTGGGACCCCCTACCCTACGATTTCTTAACCAAAACCGACCGATACCCCCCACCTGGCCCCGAACGGGACCCCTCACCTGGCCCCGACACCCCCACCCACAGAACCTTTGTTCCTGGTACCCCCCACCCGACAATTTCCCTGCCAAAACCAACCGATGCCCCCCCACCTGGCCCCGACACCCCCACCCACAGAACCTCTGTCCTTGGGACCCCCCACCCCGCGAGTTCTGTCCCAGTACCGACCGACACCCCCCACCGAGCCCCGACCGATACTCCCCACCAAGCCCCGACACCCCCACCCACTGAACATCTGTTCTTGGGACTCCCCACCCCACGATTCCTCAACCAAAACCAACCGAACCCCCCCATTTGGCCCGGACTGATACCCCCCACCTAGCCCCGACACCCCCACCCACAATACTTCTCTTCTTGGGGCCCCACCCCACGAAATCTGGCCCAAAACCGACCGATACACCCCACCTGGTCCCGACCGATACCCCCCCCACCTGGCCCCGACACCTCCACCCACAGAACATATGTTCTTTGGACCCCCCACCCCACAATATCTCGCCCAAAACCAACCATACCCACCACTTGGTCCCGACCGATACCCCCCACCTGGCCCCGACACCCCCACCCACATAACCTGTCCTTGGGACCCCCACCCCACGATTGCTCGCCCAAAACCAACCGACACCCCCCACCTGGCCCCGAACGATGCCACCCACCTGGCCCCGACACCCCCACCCAAAAACCTCTGTCCTTGGGACCCCCCACCCCACGATTTCTCGCCCACAACCCACCGATACCCCCCACCTGGCCCCGACCGAAGCCCCCCACCAGGCCCCGACACCCCAACCAACAGAACCTGTGTTCTTGGGACCCCCCACCCCGCGATTTGTCAACCAAAACCGACCGATACCCCCCCACCTGCCCCGACCGATACCCCCCACCTGGCCCCGACACCCTCACCCACAAAACCTCTGTTCTTAAGACCCCCCACCCTACGATTTCTCGACCAAAACCGACCGATACCCCCCCCTGGCCCCGACCGGTACCCCCCCCACCCACAGAACCTATCTTTTTTGACCCCCCACCCCGCGATTTCTCGCCCAAAACCGATCGATACCCCCACCTGGCCCCGACCGATACCCCCCACGTGGCCCCGACAACACCCACTGTTCCTCTGTTCTTCGGACTCCCCACCCAACGATTTCTCAACCCAAACCGACCGATACCCCCCCCTGGCCCCGACCGATACTCCCCACCTGGCCCCGACACCCCCACCCACAGAACCTCCCCCCACCTGGCCCCGACCGATACTCCCCACCTGGCCCCGACACCACCACCCACAGAACCTCTGTCCTTGGGACCCCCCACTCCACGCTTCGCGGCCCCATGGGGAGCTCCAACTCAGGCCCCAGCGCCACGGCCCGCATGCCCTCGCCTCACCATGTCGGCACACCACTCACATGTCTTGCGGTTCCAAAACTAGGCTCCGCCGAAGACAATACTCACAACTACAGCACTCACACCCGCATAGTGGCTGGGTCGGTCACCATGCTAATGTGTTGCGTGATTCATTGGGAATAACACGTTCTTCGGAGCAGTGGCGCTGCCGGTGGGAGAAGGGGGTGGGGCGCCGGCGCAGCAGCAGCATCAGCAGGAGCAGCAACAGGAGGAGCAGCAGGAACAAGGAGGAGCACTGGAGAAGCATCAGATGAGCAGGAGGAGGAGCAGGAGGAGCAGCAGGAGAAGTCCCCAAGCGTCGAAGATGGCCCAAAATTGCCTCGCGCGACACCCGATAGCCCCCGGGAAGACCCCCGACGGGCGCCAAAGACGCGCCTCGAGACTTCCAAAGCACCGCAGGAAAGCCAAGAGGCACACCACGAATGCCCAATTCCGCTGACCCCTTGGAGGTGCTCGGCGCGTGAGACGGCTGCCCCCTCCCCTGTCGGATCCTCGGGATGACTCCAAAATCAGCTATGAATGCTACGTGACAGAGCCAAGTGAGCTCCAGAAACGGCTTTACGACCAGCTCGCAATGCGCCATTGCGGCGTGGGATACGCCCCCAAGGTTCCCAAAACAACCTCAGAACTACCCAGATGCTCGAAAGACTGCCGCGCACGAACCTGCGAGGGCATGACAGACCCCCGCCGCCCCCCCTCCCCATTCCAAAACAGAAAGAAAACTTCCCGAGACTCTAGAAGGCTCCTCCGAGGCGCCCCAGACGCACGACACGTCCGGTATTAGTCCACTACGCGTGATGAGCGTTGCGAGCGCTTTCTCTGTCACTGGCACTTGGGTTGACGATCGCGCGATTGCTAGCACACAGAAACCCAAGCAAACGAATCTCAATGGAGATTCCTGGAGCCCGAGGGATTCCCAGCGCCGACCCCTGAAGCACTCCGACGTCTGAATATCTTCGACGCCAATGCACAACCACAACGCGGCCTCGAAAGCGCGAACCAATAAACGCGGCCGGAAGCCCCGAACTACCCCTCAACGAAATAGACTACACCCTGGGCCGGCTCACACCAAGCCCTCCTTGGGGTCGGCGGCAGAGGCGGCAGCCTTAAGATTATCCTTCGCAAATAAAAACTCAACAACAACATCATCAATTTACACGAATGCTCTATGATTCTGCATGCAGCGTGCATCCATCATGATATCCCCCCTCATACGAGGATATTCTTGCACAGGGGTGTCCGATATTCCCTTACCAAGATCTCCCCGCCGAGGAGGTCTCGACAACACCTCTTCCGAGGCACTTCAACACCTCCAACCCACATGGCACATCGTCTTTGCAATCGCCCTGCCCATGCCTTGCGTCTAGGTTTCACCACGCCTGGATGGCCTAAAACAGCTGGCAGAAGCCACACAACCCCTGGGAGAGCCCCCAGAGCCCCTTGGAGAGCATCTGGAGCTCCCTGGAAAACCCCCGTGGCCTCCCAGAGAAGCTTCAGAGCCCGTGCGGGGAACCTGAAGGACCCTGGGAGACGCTTCAAAGCTGAGCCCGAGGGCTCGGGGCCTCTCAAAGGAGGAGCTTCTGGGCCTCGGGGAAAGGAGGAAAAAGAGGAGGAAGCCAGAGGAGGAGGAGGAGGCAAGAGGAGAGAGGACAAGGGGGGAAGAGGAGGAGGAGGAGGAGGAGGAAGAGGACGACGACGACGACGACGACGCAACGACGACGATGACGACGACGACGACGACGCAACGACGACGATAACGACGACGACGACAACGACGACGACTACGACGACGACGAGAGAGGAGGAGGGGGAAAGGAAGGAGGGAGGAGACGAGGAGGAGAATCAGGAGACGGATGACGACGACGACGACGAAGACGACGACGGGGCGAGAGCGCCAGAGCAAGCGATAGCATGACTCCAAAGTAAGTCGCGGCGCTCGCTGAGCGTCGGGGGCCCGGCGTTTGAATAGATTGCAAGAAAGTCCCACGCGAGACCAGAATTCCTGCATCCATTGTGGAAAGACACTCGCGGCAGCGCGATTTTGGAATGACTTGTGAGGAGGTGTCAAGCGGGAGCCGTTGTTGTTCAAACTCGGGGGCCAGGTGGCCAGTTTAGTGACCACAGACTTTCCCTGATGAAATTAAGGTGCGAGCCTCGGAAGGGGTACCTCAATTGAGTAAATACAATGAAAATAATGGTAGCTGAAGGGGGGATCAACCATAATCATTCTTCAGACATGAAAAATTCAACACACGCCCCACCAAAAAAAACACTTCCCAACCCCAGAACCTCGAGCATGCCCGCCCTTCCCCAAGCCCCTGCAAACGGGGCGTCAGTAAACGGGCCGCTTGCTAAGGGTGCGTTTTCAATGGTACTTTCCAAAAAAAATGGCTGGCCGCCGCACAGATGCTAGGTAAATCCCCCTGCCCAGAATTACGAACTGCATCGACGTTCCTGTCGTCCCGATGCATCACGCACCAGTGCGAGGTAACAATGCCCCGTCACCCCGCTCCCGCTTGAAGAGGCCCCTTCGCCACCGCCCCGTTTGCTAACGCCCCGTTTGCCAGGGCTCGGCCCTTCCTGCTGGCCAGAACCAGTGCCGGGCCACCTCGGACCACCAAACGGTCCAACCTCAGGTCGGGCATGTCCCCCGACAGTCGCCGTCTGGAGAAACACTGAAAAATAGTCGAAAAGATGCTCCAAGATAGTCGAGAAGAGGAGTCAAAACATCGCCCCCAGACTAATTGTGCTTCGATCTCTGTCGAACAGTCCTCCTGTAGAGGGACACTCCCGACGTGGGACCACCAGGCGGCTCCAACCCGTTGGGCGTGGCTTAATGGGGGGGTCATAAATGGGGGGGTCAAAAAACGGTCCCCTTTCGTGCCCCTTTTGGGCCCCTCCGGAGCCTCAGGGGGCTCGTTTAGGTACCGTTTGGGTACCTTTTCGGACCACGCTCGCCACCCCCCCATCGCCACCCCCCCATTTATGACCCCCCCATTACGCAACGCCCAAACCCGCCGCTCCTGGAGCGCCTCCGCCCTGGCGTGGCCCTCGGCCCGGCAGGCCTGCAGCTCCGCGCGCAGGCCGTCGAGGTCGCCCCGCAGGCGCTCGCCCTCCGCGCGCTGCTCCAGCAGCTCCCGGCGCGCCGCCAGGCCCGCCTCCCGGGCACTGTCGACCTCGCGCCTCGCGGCGTCCTCTCGGCGGCGAGCGAGGGGGGAAACGAGGAGGAGAACGCCATTCTCAGAAGGCGGCGGGACTTCTGAGAAGCCCTCGCACCTTTAAAGGGAAATTAGGACACACAAATAAATACACACAAATAAAAATAGTCCCCATATTTTCTCATATTTTCTGGGTTTTTGTCTTCCACCCCAATTCCCATATTTTCCCATATTTTCCTGGGAATCGAGGATTAATTGTGTCTGTGTTTTTTTCCCTCCTGAACCTTCTGATGAGAGGCTTTTTGCGTCTTCGGGCAAGGCTTAGAAGACTTCTCAGCAGAAGGCATTGGAACTTCCGAGCCTTCTGAGAAGGCCCGCCCCGTCTCCTGTCCCCCCCTCGCTTGCCGCCGAGCTATAACCCTCTCGAGCTTCGAATCCGAGCATAAATGGAGCGGCCACGAGCGGCCGTTTTGAGGCTACAACCCCCTGGCTTTTTATCAAAAAGAGACCGTAGAGGTCGGGGAAGAAGCTGTGATGCTCGGTTCCCGTTAGGCCACGGGGCCCCGGTGCAATATTGCAGGGGCCGCCAGGGTAAAATCTCTGGTGCGTCCTCACCCCTGTTAACATTATAACCGCCAAATGGGGTGACAACCAAGAATTCGCATTCCGCCCAATACTTCCACAAAAAATGTCCAGTCGCTTTTCAAACAACCGGAAAAATTCACAGGCCACCGGATTTGGGCGATTCCGCTCAGGACTTCCGCACAACGATCAAATTCGGCCTCATTTATGTTGCCTTGAAGGTACGCTTATGCTTGGGACTTCCTGCAAGTCATGTTTACCTCTCTCGGCGTGGGCGATTCTCAACAGAACTTGTGGCTTCCAACGCTCAGCGCCCTGCGGTGCCTTTCCGTTGTTCGGCGCGCGGGCCTGTCGCGGGGTCATCTCGGAGGCCATGGTCCAGAATCGAAGGTCCAGGAACAATCGAGGGTCGAAGCTCCCGGCCCCAGCTGACAGCGACGATGCAAAGGGGGCCCGAAGTGCCGATCCAGACTTTTTATCCAGGGGCCCCCCCCCCCTCCCTCCCTCCCCCCCCCTCCCCCCTCCTCCTCCTCCCTCCTCCCTCCTCCCTCCTCCCTCCTCCCTCCCTCCTCCCTCCTCCCTCCTCCCTCCTCCCTCCTCCCTCCTCCCTCCTCCTCTCTCCTCCCTCCTCCTCCTCCTCCTCCTCCTGGAAGCCCTCCACGGGCTCCGGGGCCGTCCAAAAACGGCACGGGAGGAAGCGCCTGACCCAGGGAAGCGGCCCCCACCTCCGGGGGCCCACGCATCTCGCAAGCTGGAGCGCCGCATGTCTGGGCCCCTGCCGCACGAACGGCGAACGTATCCGTATCCGCGCCCTCGCGGTCTGGGTTCCGGGGCGCGTTCCGCGCGGAACAGCCGCGAAAAACGTTCCATTGCCACGGGGTCGCTGCCCAGCCAGGGCTCTGGGCCGCGAGGCCGCGGATACGGAGATTTGTTTCGCCTAATTACGAATTGAGGGGGGGGGAAAGGATCGAGGATCGAGAAGGAGGAGGATCGAGGGGGGAGATCGAGGATCGACGATCCCTGTCAAAGAATACCATGCGGTCCATTCGTGCGCCCGTTGGCCGCGCGCACATTTCGAAACTTGTCCAGAACCTTCAGCACCGACGCGAGAGCACCATCACCGTCGTCGGCGTGATCAACATCGGCGTCGTCATTGCCCTTGTCGTCGTCATTGCCATCATCGTCACCACCAATATCGTACCTATCATCACCGTGTCTGCCGTTGCCGGACGTCGCAACGATACCGCGCTAGCTCGAATCAACGGCTCGCACTGCTGTCCCCGCGCGTCTGCGCGGCCTGCAATACGTGGTGGGCAATCCCCTAGCGGTCAACGCCACCGCTGTCGCGTCGGTCGCGCCAGACTGCGCCAGCCAGCGCCAAGCAGTCATCGCAATCGCCCCAGCATGGATGTTGAGACCCGAGTTGTGTATGGGCGGGTGGGATGATTGCGCGAGCAGTGGAGTTGTCAACTCACTGCGAATGCGCATTGATGGCACCATATGTTGCATTATATCGGATGCACCACATAGGTTGCACCACACATCGACACATCGCAACAAACATATTGCACCACATAGGCTGCACTACATAGACTGCACCACATAGGCTGCATGCACAACATGGATTGCACCACATGGGTTGGACCATTTGCACCATATATAGTACACCACGCAACTTGCACCACATAGATTGCGCAACATGGGGTGCACGACCTATATGGCACGACATAGATAGCGCCACATGGACCGCCTCACATCGATTGCACCACATAAACTGCACCATCTAAATTCCTAAAAGCGCAACGTTTGAGGCCCACGCTGGCTAACATCTGCCTGTGCATGAAAGCGAGAGCACGATCCACCGTCGCTTGATTCAGCAAGAAAAACCAGATTACTCTACAGAGGAACCCCACATGCTTATAATATGTCTGGCGGGATGATACTCGACGTGAAACTTGTGTAAAAGATGCAGGTGGCCGTTGCTTCGACGATTCCATTGGTGGCGCATGTCAAGCCTTGGGGGCCTGAGTACCCTGAGGGGGTCCACAGTCCCTGGGGGACCGACCCCCCTGCGCACCTTTCATGGTGTCGTGAAAGTGCCACGCCTGCTGTGCCCGGGACGAACGGCGCGCATAGCGGCGGCGGTGAGAGACCACCCCCTGCACACCCTCTGTGGTGTCGAGAAAATGGCACGCCTGCTATGCCCTGGACGAACGGCGCGCATAGCGGCCGAGATGAGAAACCACCCCCTGCGCACCCCCTTTTTTATGGTGTCGGCATCAAATGCCACGCCTGCTGTGCCCTGGACGACCGTCGACCATAGCGGCCGCGGTGAGAGACCAGCCCCTTCGCACCACCTATGGTGTTGAGAATATGCCACGCCTGCTATGCGTATGCCACGCCTGCTATGCCTTGGATGACCGTGACGGATAGCGGCCGCGCTGAGGGACCAGCCCCTGCGCACCCTCCACGATGTCGAGAAAATGCCACGCCTACCGTGCCCTGGACGACGGTGACGGATAGCGGCCGCGCTGAACGACCACCCCCTGCGCACCCCCTGTGGTGTCCAGAATATGCCACGCCTGCTACGCCCTGGACGACCGTGATGGATAGCGGCCGCATTGAGCGACCACCCCCCATGCGCACCTTTCATGGTGTCGAGAAAATGCCATGCCTGCTGTGCCCGGGACGACCGTGACGGATAGCGGCGGCGGTGAGAGACCACCCCCTGCACACCCTCTATGGTGTCGAGAAAGTGCCACGCCTGCTATGCCCTGGACGACCGTGACGGATAGCGGCCGCGCTGAGGGACCACACCCTGCGCACCCTCGATGGTGTCACGCCTGCTGTGCCCTTGACGCGAAGCGCATATAGCGGCCGCGCTGTATCTGGATGTGTGTATCATGTGGTTGCCCTGTATGTGGCGCATACGTCGTGGGTGTATGATGCAGCGAACACGCCATACATGCACTGGCGAATGAGACGGATAAGCAAAAGAGTGGGGAGGAGGATAAGAGGAGAAAGAATGCGGGTTCGACGCGGCAAGGAAGAATACCAAAAACCCACCAAAGAAGTTGGGGAAAACAAAAACGGAAAACCAAACGGGGGGGTTAATATCCCCCCGCCCACCCATCGGGGACACAAATGGAGACGGCGGTTCGAACCGTCATTGGTCGAATCTGCCAATAGGACTGGATATAGAAATAACTGATTCTAAGTCCTTACAAGGCTTGATCCAACTTCAATCTGATCCTACGACGGGCTGGATCCAGCGCTTACGAGACCCTACGAGTGATCGACCCAGCCCTGACAGGATCCTACTGGATGCAGCCTTAATCGAATCCTTCTCCGATGGTCTGGATCCAGATCTAATAGAACCCTAGTCGGGCTCAAACCAACTTCCATTGAATCATACTACGGAATGGATCCAGCTCTAATTCGATCATACGAGTGCTTGGCCGAACCATGAAAAACGTACGATGGTGTGAATGCGGCTCTAATGAAATTCCTAATAAGGTTCTTGGCGAGATCCAACTTGAATAGAATCCTAGGAGGGCGAGATCCACCTGCAATGGACCGCATAAAGGCATACGAAAACTACATGTTATCCCTGAAGGCACGCGTCCGACGCGAACACATAATGTACCCATCCTTACATAAATCGTTTCCCGAGCGGTGTAGACGGAAACCGCCCGCCACGACGCGTGCACTCTAAGATTCCTCGGTGCGCGCGTCGCTTCTTGGGGGGGAGGGGGGGGGGCCACGCACAGGCAGTATTAGTATGTTGGGGTCACGCCGATGCAATGGAATCCCCACCCTCCCCCCCCCATCCAGTCTTGACCATGCGGGGGGGGAGGGGGCCCTCTCAACCCCTCGCCCCCGCCCCGTTCGGAGCGGGAAGCTGTTCTGCCCCCCCTCCCGCCCAGCTCGAACTGGGGGAGGGGGCTTGCCAGCACCGGTAGATCGGGCATGTCCTCCTACAAGCGGATTGCGGAAGAAGAATTAAAAATATACAAAAATAGTCAAATATATCCAGATATACCCATCAAGAAAAGAATCGAAAACATGGGGAACAAGAAAAAAATCCTCGCCAGACTACGTTTGCACTATTCTTGAATATTCCTCCTGTAGATGGACATGCCCGATTTAGCAATAGCGGCACAATTCGCTGTCAAAAATATTGAAGGAAGGTTTGGGATCATTCTCTCTGCCCTTCCCGTCTCGCCCGATTTCGGGCCCGGGACCATCACAGATCGACCTGGCCCGAAAAACGCAGCAAAAAGACGGGGCCTGGTGCTGCGGCTGTGATTTGCCTGCGGCACGAACGGTGCACCTCGCTTCACCCCCCCGATGTGTCGCCTCCCCTTTTTTACGCATCACCCGAACGACGCGGCTTCTTTGAAGGGGCCTTGGGACACACAAATAAATAGACACGAATAACAGGATTCCCATAT